CCTATTTTGTATTTTATTTACAGACAGGGTCTCACTGAGTTGCTTAGCACCTTGCTTTTGCTGAGGCTGGCTTTGAATTGGCCATCCTCCTGCTTCAGCCTCCCAAGCCATAGAGATTATAGGCATGTGCCACGGCACCCAGCCTAATGTATTGTATTTTAATAAGATGTTACCATTGGGGTTTTGAAACTGGGTCAAGGGTACTCTAGATCTCTCTATATGATTTATTTCAACCACATATGAATCTACAATCATCTGAAAAAAAGTTTAATTTAAAAAACAGCAATAGTGACAAACAGTGAATCTTCTTTAAGAGAATCATCAGAGTGGAGAGTGGCCTGAAAGTTATCCCAGAGTGATGATTGAAGGGTCTGGGAGGTGGGGTATTACCTGGAGAAGAGAACTCCTAAGGATAGTATGTATACAGCTGCTATGCAGAAGAGGATTAAATAAGAATCCATGATAAGAAGGTACAAAGAGAAGATTTTATCCAGATATCTGGAAGAACATTCTATGACACCTCAGCATTAGGGTAAAGAGGTTTCCAGGACATGTCCTTAGAAGGGGCAAGGTAAGAGTAAGAAGGAATAATTGTTGGACTAAACAGAAAAGGATAATTCAGCATTTTGCAATTTTCTCCTCAGAGGAACTAGGGGAATTGGAAGGACATTCGGGAAGGTGCTAGGACCTGCTTCAGGTGTGCAAATTACTGCAGACAATGAGAAGGTGGACTGTGTGTGCCCACTTAGGGGAAGGCGCTTATTAGCTGGGTAAATGCTGGGTTCTTTACCCAGCAGGGTTTGTATTTAGAGGAAAATATTATTCAAGCCAGAATTCATAACTCCTGCATGTCTCAGTCAATCAGCAGGACCCCAGAGAGAGCTGAGAGGAATTCAGGAAGATTGCCTTGAGGATAACAGCAAGACACTGGCAAGTGATTTTCAAATGGGCAACTTTGCCCTTTGAAAGGCTGTGCCAGTCACTGGAGTAATTTCAGATGAACAGGCACATTAGGAAAATTACTACTATTATGCATTACAAGGTTACAAAGAACGCATGTGTCCTTTTATAACATCACATGAAAAAAGTCTTAGAGGTGTTGTGAGTTTTCCCAACTTTGGTGGATGTGTTCTCACAGATTTCCTTCAAGCCTATTTCCCATAATGATGCTGCTGGTGAAGATCCTGATTTCTACTAGGGCTGGTTGTAAGGCAGGATTTCTTCAAGGATTTGTACAGGAACTTTCTGCTTTCTTTTAGGGGTGGCTAGTGGGCTATATTATTACTGAAATGTGAAGATAATCTGAAGTGTTGCAAGTTAAATACCATCCTCCCTGTGTCAAAATTGCATGAGATGTGATGCAAAGAACATCAGCAACAAAGTGCAAAGACAATCTACAGAATGGGAGAAACTGTTTGCCAATCACAAATCAGATAAGGGACTCATGTCCAAAATATGTAGGGAACTCTGACCACTCCGTAATCATAAGACAAATACATAGTTAAAAAGTGGCCAAAGGTGTTGGGGTTGTGGCTCAGCGGTAGAGTGGTCACCTTGCACGTATGCAGCCTTGGGTTCGATCCTCAGCACCACATAAAAATAAATAAATAAAATGAAGGTATTATGTCCAACAACTAAAAAATAAATATTAAAAATAAATCTTTTGGCCAAAGGATTGCTCCCAAGAAGTTATACAAATGGCAAATAAGCATATGACAATAGGCTCCCCATGGTTAGCCATCAGGGAAATGCAGATTCAAAGCACAATGCTATACCTCTTCACACCCACTAGGATGGTTGTAATAAAAAGAATAGACAATAAGTAGCAGTGAGGATGCAGAAAGAATCCTCCTATACTGCTGGTGGGAACATCAAATGGTACAGTCACTTTGAAAAACAGTGACAGTTTCTCCAAAGGTTAAACATAGATTTATCATGTGACCCAGAAATCCCACTCTTAGGTATATACCTGAGAAAAACCTATATCCACACCCTGTACAAGTTTATTTACATGAAATGTCCAGAAGAGGCGAATCTATAGAGACAAAGTAAATTGTGGTTGCCTAGGGCTGGGTTTGTTTGGGTTGGGAGGTAGAGACTAATTTCTAATGAGTACTTTATTTTTGATGGGGATTAAAATGTTCTAATATTGTGGTGATGGCTGAACAGTTCTATGAATATACTAAAAAAACATTAAATCATACACTCTTCATGAATGAATTGTATGGTATGTGAATTGTATGTCAATAAATCTGTTACTAGAGAAGAAAACACTCAAAAAACCCTGTGACAATGTCTAGTGCATTTATGATTTAAATACAATTTAACCATTGCGACTAAAATGGTGGGTTGGATGTAGTGAAGACCCTTTGGGTTTACAGCATTCCATAGAATCTATTTTCAACAAACAAGGTTTGTTGCTGGTGCCTCCTAGTGCTTTGTCAAGGTCACAGTGAAAGTCAGGACAAACTGGACTCTAGGACCGGGCTCAGGAAGGCCATGCATTTGGCAACTGAGGATAAAACGAAGCATCTGCTCTCACCAATGCTGAGTTCAAACTACATCTGTATTTAGTTTGGAATTGAATATTAACGTCAAATCTGTGCTTTGAAAGAGTCTTTACCCTACTTGAAAGCTTCAACTTGTTTAAGAAAAAAGTAATCGGGGCTCCTAATAGTGGTCAGACTAGAGGGATGGAAAAAAAGAAAAGAAAAGAAAAAAAAGGCTTGAAATTCCTGGCTCCGCAACTCCAGGAGCTGCCCAGGGGAGGCGGCAGGGGGCGCCCTCCTTGTTCCTGCCCCGTCGCCCGTCCCAGCCGCCCCCTCCGCTTGCCCTGACGTCCCCAGCCCCCGCCTCTTTCTCGCGGGCCTTCAAAGGGCGCTCGGGGCAGCTGGGCTGGAGCTTCAGTCCGCCTCTGAGGGGCCTTTGGCGTCACCTGGCCGCCGCCAGGCCACCTGTTGCTCTCTGGGTCCCGCGTCCCAGGAGCAGGTGCCGGGACTGCACGGACGCTGCAACTTGTGGCCCCCAGCGGACTCCCAGCCGCCAGCCACTGGCTCTGAGGAGGTATCGGGGAAGGGCACGCCGGCAGTCACATGGAGAGCGGCAACGGGACGCCCCTGGCCGGGGCACTCGGGGCGGCGGCCGAATCCCCCCAGTGCCGGTTGCCGCCTGGAGGGGAGGGCGCGACGGGGCTGGCTGAGCCCGACCGAGCCGCGGAGGACGCTGCAGCTGGCAGCTGCGGCGGGAGCGGGGGCGGGCCACCGCGGGCTCTGCGGGCAATATACGTGCGCAGCGAGAGCTCCCAAGGCGGCGCCGTCGGCGGCCCTGAGGCCGGGGCGCTGCAGTGCCTGCTTCGGGCCTGCGAGGCTGAGGGCGCCCACCTCACCTCCGTGCCCTTCGGGGAGCTAGACTTCGGGGAGACGGCGGTGCTCGATGCCTTCTACGATGCAGGTGAGGGCGGGTGCCCCCTTTGTCCCCAACCCACTCCAGCTTTCCTTATCCTCCCAGAAGCCATGGCACTCCCTCCCTGGGTCGCTACCCTTAGTTCTCCTCCCCGCTCCCCATACTCCCTGAATTTTGGACCACTAAACATAATAGAGGCCACTGGCATTTAGACCCTTTATCCTTCAATCTTTTAAAATATCCCATAACCCAAGAAGCAGCCAGTAACTCAGATGATGCTGAACATCCACACACACACACCAGCCACAACCCCAGTTCTCCAACTTTTCTCACTCCTGGCATGCCCCATACTGGCATGGGTCCCAGTTGCAGGATTCACATTAGAACCACCTGGGGAGCTGTTAAAACTCTCCATGCCCACCCCAGGCCAGTGACAACACGGAAGCCTCAGGGGTGCTTAATGCTTGCTTCCCAGTGATTTCACCTCACAACCAAGAACTGGAATCGGTGTCTTACAAGTGGTGTGGTTTTGCCTCTTAGAAATACTCCAGTATTCTTTTGCACATTTTAATTCCTGGCGCCAACACACACTGATGGTGGGGTGTATTCTACCACAGTGCACAAGCATTCAGGGCTTCAAGGTCTCCATTGCTGGAGTGGCATACTAGGTCTCTAGGTAAGTGTGCCCTGTCAATTCAGCCTTCAAATCAGTACATCAAGTTGGAAGAAATTTCTCCAGGTGTGCAATGAATTGTTTTTTTCTTTTAATTTTTTTAAGTTGTAAATAAACACAATATTTTTATTTTGTTTATTTTTTTATTTTTTTAATTTATTTTTTAGTTTTCCGTGGACACAGTGTCTTTATTTTATTTTTATGTGGTGCTGAGAATCGAAACCAGCGCCCCGCACATGCCATGCGAGCAGCTTGAGCCACATCCCTACCCCTATTTTGTTTATTTTTATGCGGTGCTGAGGATGGAACCCAGTGCCTCACATGTGCTAGGCAAGCATTCTACCACTGAGCTACAGCCCCGGACCCTGAATTGTTTTTTTTATGGTGCAACTTTGGTGACAAGCTTTTGGCATTTGAGTGACATTTATAAGCATTAGATGTGAGATAGTAATTACCTGGGAATCCTTGTCTTCCACTGATCAAAACAGAGTAACAGTGTCTACCTTAAACCTAAAATCATATGAGAAGATCAGTGGGGGATTGCCCTTAAATTCTGGGCTTGCAGTCCTGTCATAGTATTTAATTGTATGTGTTTCTGTGTGGTGTTGGGGATGGAACCCAGGGCTTCATGCATGGTAGGCAAGCACTCCACCACTGAGCTACACCCTCAGCCCAGATAATTATCTTTTTACTGGTGGCAGCATGGATGTGGTTCTTCTGCAGAGCAAATCCTCCCCAACTGTAAGGGATTGGGGTGTCAGGCTTGTTTAAATAAGTGGCAGCTGGACTCATTGAGAAAACACTCATGACATTTTTGACTGTACTGAGTATACCTTTCAGCACCTCATCTTTTTGAGAAGTTGTTCAGGAGGCCATTCACCTAGAACCACTTGGTTTTCTCCACTTCTGTTCATTCTGCTCCAAGGTTAAAGCTTGAACAGACCCTTCTCTGAATGTCCCTTTTGCCATTAGGCACAACTCTGTCCTCCTGCCTGCTGGTGTCAACTCTGAAAAATTTACTTTTGTGGGACTCTGTGTGTGTGTACACATGCATGTGTACCAGGTCTTCACCTGCTAATAGTGTCCCTTCTAACAGGTTCGGTGTGAAGGCTCAGATATCAAATCTCAGGCTTTCAATTCCAGAGCTACTGAACAAGCACATCAGCTTTGCTTGCTTGTGGCCTAGAGTGCCTTGAATTTTTGATTACATCATGTATCTCTTTTTGGTTAACCTTGTCCTGGTCTTGAATAAATTACTTCTCAATACCTTGTTATAATCAAAATTATTTTTAAAAATATTTTTTTGTAGTTGTAGATGGACAGAATGCTTTTATTTATTTATTTTTATGTGGTGCTAAGGATCAAACCCAGTGCCTCACACATGCTTTGCCACTGAGCTACAGCCCCAACCCCAAATTATTTTCATAGTTTTGAAAAAGGATACATAGTAACTGTGATGAGTGCGTTTATGAATTAAATAGATGATCTCCCCACACCCATACCCACTCCTGGCTTTTTTTTTTAAAGCATTCTCCTTTTTTTAACCTTTATTTTATTTATTTATTTTTTAAGAGAGAGAATTTTTTTTAAGAGAGGAGAGAGAGAATTTTTTTTAATATTTATTTTTTAGTTTTCGGTGGACACAACATCTTTATTTTATTTTTATGTGGTGCTGAGGATCGAACCCAGCACCCTGCGCATGCCAGGTGAGCACTCTACTGCTTG